TCCTTCGCAAATACTAGACTATATTAAATTATAAAATTTCAATAATTCAATAATCAAAAAAACACAATCTAGTTTAGCCAGCATCTAATTCCTAATTGTAGTATTCTATTTTAATAAATATTTGTTAAGACATGGACTGCAACCTATTTTTTAGAGATCTGTTCAAATAATAATGTATCATTTGGGAGATAATAAGTATAATTTAATTCATCTATTTCAGCATTTTATTTATCTAAAACAAATAGGTTGCTATTAAATATTGACTATTTTTATTAACTCAGAGCATCTGGGAAAACACTTATGATTAGGTTAATTTATGTTATATTTTCCCCTCAACTTGTAAAAGATTAATCAACCATTTTATGGTCTAATTTAGGTGCTAATTAAAAACAGAGTTCAACACATGCTACACTGTCTTACTAATAAATCCTGACAGCTCTGGAACATGATGGTTTGTATTTCAAATTGTTGCATATAAATGTATATTTTTGATCTTCACCCAGCAGCTTGGAAGTGAGTTACATACTTGGTTTAACCTCCAGGACTGAGAAAATACAATTACTTCAAAATGGATTATCCTCAATTAGATCTTACCTTAAATTTCCCTCAGTGAAGACAGAAACAGCCTTTGCCACCAGATTTTTAAAAGAGACCAGGAAAACAGAGGGAAATTTTGCTTTCTCAGCAAAGGTTGGATTAAAAATGTTAGGAAATTGCTATTTTCAGCTATTAGCCTTCAAGAGAGATTTACTGGGTTTTAGAATTATCATTCCACACGAATCTCCTCAAAGTGTTAGCTATAATTGTCTTCTGGTTAATCAGCACAAGTTAATTATTCAGTCTTGTTTTGGAGGCACTCTTTTTTTAAATGAATAAATTAATTCCAAGAAGTTCTGGAACATGTCACTTAACCCTATGTCTGCCTACACTTCCCAGACTGAAAAAGGCCAAGCACCAGAGAATAAATCAAAATGGACACTCACTATGTTTTCTCAGTCTCTATACTGGGGGAATATTTTTGTCATTTTAATGCCTCCTTTCTAACAGTCCTATGCAGAAAAATGAAACAGCCACAGTGTGTGAGTGTCTTCACACTACTTAGATACCTACCAACTTCAGATATAGACTGTTTGGAGTAGATATTCTTTTAAAGTGAATGACACAATGTACAATCCACATCAAGATCACCGAAGACACCTCAGAAAACTGTCAAATTCCTTCAAAGCAAACCCAGGTTCGGACTAATGACAAACGGCTTGTTTGGGTCATTTAAGCAAGAAGCACAGCAAAGAATTATCTCTGTAGCAGAACTGCCTGGGTTGGTATATTATGTTTGTCATTTTACACTGTGAGATCCTAGTCAAGTTGCTTAACCTCTCTGTGCCTCTGTTTCCTCATGTGTAACTGTAGCAAACAAATATGCTAATCCTGTAAAACTTGAAAGAGTGCTTGGTACATAAGGTAAACATTCAGTAAGGGTTAGGTACCTACATTAAGCTGAACACACACTCATACACACAGATTTGTTAGATGTAGGCTACAGCTTGAAGTGTTAACTTAGTTAAGGTGGGGAAGGAGCTTCTGCCCCTATAAGGTCTACAGCATATTTCTACACAACAAATAATAGTCACACAATATTTGGCTAATTTAATTCCCAAACTGAGGTCATTAAAATTTTCTTTAAATCTACCAATTTAAGCCAAATCACAAAGAGACTTTAAAAATTATATATTTCCAAAAAAATTACGTATTTCATTTTTGACCATTCAAAGCGTAAATCATATTCCCACCCTAAGTGTATAGGCCTTGCATATGTGAAGTTTTCCTGGCCCACAGCCCCATTTTTCTCACACACCATCACACCCATGCAACAGAAGGCCACCCTTCCACCAGATAGCCAGATAAGCCACTCAGAGGGATCTCACCAGCACCTACTAAGACTGGGAGGACTGATTCTAGAGAAGTGGATAATGAATAGGAAGGGTAAACTCAGAGTAAAACCAACTCGCGTCCCAGCGCATATAGACAGCCCATAGGAACGGTTCCCACTCTCTGGCCAGTGGTGAGGTCAGCTCTGAGCTGCAACCTCGGGGGGTACCATGCACCATGACCCCTCCTGATTGGGTGATGGTGTCTCCTTATGCCACGTAGGAGGAACTGAAGTCAAATTCCCAGACGTCAAGCAAATCACTCCAGGCCCTGGGCTACTCACTGGTTAGGCCACTAGCAGGGCTGTGTATCCACCGTTTTAACCTATTAACGACTCTGCAAACATAGCCACGACCTCACTTCGTTCTCCAACGGAACAGCCTACAGTGGTCTTTTATTTTTTTCTTTTTGCTCGTTTGTTTGTTTTGTCTCAAATGCCTTCAAAATGTCTCCCCTCTCCCATATTTTCTGGGTTTGAGTATTTATTTTAATCATGCTTCTGAATTGTCACTCCCCTGGGTTAATTACTATCTATACTTTTCTTCAATTGGCTGTAGGGACGGAGCTAGAGATACAATGGAGCCCACCTCCAGCGAGAGGCAGGGCTTGGCCGAGCAGAGAGCTCTGGCGACCACGGAGGGTGCACTCTGGCCCCTGCCTTAGGCGTCTCATCGGGCGCGTCTGTTTAAAGTTTAAAAGTCCGTCTTCAAAATAATTGTGAAGTCCATACATTTGCCTAGACATCCATTAATTATTCTTCATTAATTAATTTTTTAATTAAACAGAAAGCATTTAAACATTTTATTTTTTCCTTAAGAAGATCTTCTAACCGTGTGGCCGCGCCGGGCACTGCTGGGGCAGTCGCGGCACGTGCAGTTGGCTCCACGGCTTCCCGGTCACCGCCGCTGGCCCTGAGCCTCCTGGTCCAGGCAGTCCAGCTTGTCCGTTCAGGGAGATGGCTTGGGAGAGTGATGAAGCTCCCCGGGTCTAGCCACCCAGCTCGGTCCCGCCCGGACTCCAGAGTTGCGCTCCCCCTCCGCAGGCACACAGCAAGGATTTCCAGGGCGGCTTCGTTCTTTATTCAGCTTTTTTTGAGTCAATCAAAAGGAACGTGGCAGGTGGAGGGCAGCCGCCTAAGAGATTGCGTGAATCTTCCTATGGGGATTTCCACAGCTTGCCCCAGGTGCTTCTAAAACAGCTTAACATTAAGGTTCTTTTCCTGCCAGTTCCTCCCAAACCCGCCCCAAGTGTGTCTGATCACAGACAATCCCAGGCTGCCTGCGGGCCCTGGCGGGTTCCACCTGGAAGGGCGCTAGTTATAGCCTGCCACCCCAGAATCATCATTCCCGGAGGAGGGGGAGCGGTGGTGGGAGAAGTAACAACTACATAATCGATGACAACAGCTAACAATCGGAGAGGCCAGCACGCGCCTGGCAGGCACCTGACTGCACCAGCGCACTCACTCTCGCCAGCGAGGTCTAGAAAGGCATTATTCCCACTGCACAGATGACCGCACTGAGGCTCAACTGAGGCGACGACTCTGGACGTGAATTTAGGCGTTGGACTCCAGAACCCTGTTTTAATCACCAGTTTCCCGGGAACAGGACGCGGCCCGAGGATAGTGGGAAGGGTGACTGTCAGGGCTGGGTAAACCTCTTTGGGCGACTCCTGACAATAATAAAAACAGTAAGGACAAAGGGGATGGGGGTAGGGCGAGGCTGGGAAAGGAGCGGCTGTAATCCGCAGGATCAGCCCCCCCCCCTTCACGCTCCATTCCGAACCGCCCGGAACGTGGGGTGAGGACAGGGAATGGGGCTCAGTTTGCTTTTCCCTTCTGTTTCCTAAGTCTCTTTGAAGCTAATTGGGCCTGGAGGGGTGGTGGGAACTAAGGAGTCATGCTAGCTGAGGTCAGGGTTTGTGGCCAGAGACCAGGGAGAGGGGGGCAGTGACTGGTCCTGGACCCAGAAGACGTTTCCCCAGAACGGAGTCTAGACCACTCTGCACACCAGCGCCTCATCCGAAGCTCGGTCAACACAACAGCTTACCCCCAACACCAGTAGCTGTGGGAAGCGGTGGGCAGAGGTCGTGATTATGACCCCGGGGCCAATGTCCCTTTGGAACCTGACCCACAACCCGACTCGAGAATAGAATTTCCGGAAGGCGCGACCTCAAAACAACCCTCATTTCTCAATGGGCCCAAATATCCTTTGCCCCTGACTCGTAAAGGGCCCGCGGAGACACGCGTCTGTGCTCTTGCTCTCTCAGCATCTCTGTCCTAGCCGAGGAGGCGGAAACCGGCGGGCTATGCTCGCAGCGCTGTGGAGCCTTCAAAGCTGCGCGCCGCGGCCGCCGGCTGCAATGCGCCCCTTTGCCCGACAGGGACCAGCACCGCTCCACGCTCGGCGTGCAGCCCGCCCGCCCGCCAGGCAAGCGAGACGGGCCACCCGCCCAGCTCACCCTCCCTTAGCCCAAGCAGCTCGTGGGCGACGCAGGTCTGGCCCTCTTGGGGTTCCGGTAACAAGACCGACTGTAACAAAAAGTTAACAGACTCTGCGGCCTCTACTGGACGCCGCAGACCCCAGTCCCGTGCCCATCTGGGAAGCAGAAGCTGCTTTAGAAGTTGGTTTAGGGAGGCACTGCGTCCGGAGACACGCAGAACACTCCTTCTAGCCTCCCGGGTTCCTCAAGGCAAAACGAAAAACCGAGCAATGAATAGGATTTGCATGGGACACCGCCACGGTTGAGGTGCCTCTTCTCCACCGAGGGCGGTCTCGGTCTCTGCCCAGCTTCCCAGCAGCGAGGTCGCCTGATTAATTATAGGGCACCATGGATCACGGGGTCGCCAGCGCTCCGGGAGAAGTTTCTGCGTGTTGTGGAGAAAACAGAGCTGGACGCACCCCAGACCACGTCTGGCGGGATGCGCTGCGCCACTGGCACACACGGTGTTTCTCTGTCCCTTCCCGCCCCCGGCGGACTGAACTACCCCCGTCACTTTCCTATATTATGCCACGTCTCCCTTCCTTCACCGTGTGAATGTGGCCGGCGCCCCATCCCCTGGAGGGGAAACTCACCGGTACCAGGCGAGGCCCTTGTCGTAGCTGCGGTCGAAGAAGTGGGGCTCGGCGCCCACGGCGCGCACGTCGGGGTGTACTCGCAGGAACTCCAGCAGCGCCCGCGTGCCGCCCTTCTTCACGCCGATGATGATGGCCTGCGGCAGCTGCTTGGTCCCAGACCCACTAAAAAAGCTGGAGATAGGGCTGGGGGAGTCTGGCGCCTCGGGATTCTGCTCCTCCTGGCTCTCTGCGCCCTCGGCCATCTCCTTGCCCGCAGCCAGCAGAGTGGCTGGAGGCGCCCGGAACGACTGCCGGGAAGGCGTCCCATCCCCAGCAGGGCTGGCCAGGGCTGGCGGGGCGTGTGCGGCTCGGGACCCTGAGCCCAGCAGCAGCAGCCCGGGCGCGGCGGCGCAGGAGCCGGCGCACGAGTACAGAAACATATAGAGCCAGACGCAGAGCATGGCGAAGAGCAGCGCGAGCTTCCTCCTCACCGGCGGCGGGGGCGGGGGCGGCTCCGGCACGCGCCGGCCGGGGACATCGAGGCAAGATCGGCCGCCGCTCAGGCGCTGCCCCATACGCTGCCCGCGGGCGCGGCCAGGGACATGCTCAGTACATGGCGCGGGGACCGCCGGAGCAGTGAGCGCAGAAAGGGCACCCCGGTCTGCTGGACGCCCGGGTGGCTCGGTTTATTGCCCCCGAGTGCCCGCAGCCACCGCTGCTGCTGTTGCTTCTCCCCAGGTGGCGGCGGCAGCTGTAGCGTCGGCGGCTCTTGACATGTTGCCCGGGAGGAGCGGCAACTGGAATGGAAAGTCGGGACGGCGGTAACTGTTGGCGGAGGAGCTGCTGCTGTAGCGCGACGACCGGCTCGGACAAGAGAATGTTGCACTCCCGCTCCCTGGCCACTCTGGACTGTGCGCACGGCCACACGCCGGGGCTGCCTTCTCGCTGTCCTAAGAACTGAGCCTCGCGAGTAGCCCCGGCACTTCCCCGCAGAGGCTGCGGAGGAGAACTGCGCAGGAAGAGCGCCCAGAACCGAGGTGGAGTGGGCGGGCCTGGTCTTCCAGAGTGACAGGCGGCTCTACCTACCAGAAGCCCCGCGCACCAAGCAAATACGGGCGCTTCGCCGAGCGCGGCACAGCCAACCAGCTCCCAAGACATGGGGGTGTGGAAAGGGTTGGGGGCGGTGTACAGCGACCGGGTATTGCTATTGGCTGCGTGTCAAGGGGCGGATTCAGAGAGGCGGATCCAGGGACTGGTGACAGGAGCTGGTGGTTGGAAGAATGCTGCAGTGGTGGAGCCGGGAGAGAGGTCCGACTCTCACCGGTGAGCATTTCCGCACTCGCTCCGCTGGAGCCAGATGTAGTTACCCAGATGTCAAGACAGGAGTCCCCATTCGGATATTTCTCCGACAGGCTCCTGATGTGAAGTGTTTCAGAATAGGGAGGAGTCAGAGGAGGAAAGGCAGGACCGGAGATGCGCTCAGCCACCGAACCAGCCCAAACCCAGCCCGAGACTCGCAGAGAGGGGGGACTTTTCCGGACAGACACGGTTTTAGAAAGTTTGAATCGAAAGCATGTTTGGAAATCGCTGTCAACGTCCCACCATCCCTCTCTCCTAATTCTTTGTTCGGGGATTCATCTCCCTCGCCTGCCAGTTAACTGGAGATGGTGTAAATGGTCCTCAAGAAAACTTTTCTCCGATCTCCTAAAAATGCCTGGGAACCGTTGGAGAGTTTGAAGGAGAGAAGGGAGAAATTAACCGGGAGATGATGTATGCTAAAAAGTTTTCTGGTTGAAATATACGCTCCTGTAATACGTGCAGAAGTTTTATTTAGACGAGAGTGTGTTGGAAACATTAGGGATTTTCTATCTCCTTCCGTACCTGAATAAATATTAAAGCCAAGAATCTCCTTTTAGGAACCAGTTTGGTTACTGACCCCTGACACTGATTATTAGGTGTTCTCTTTTGCCACGATTTTGTTTTAATCAAACGTCATTTTGGAGCACGTCCATCACGGAAATGCACCTATTTAACAGTCAGAGTTCACTCCAAGCCACCCTCATCTATTTCTTGGCCAAGATGTTCAGGCAGGAGCGGGAGCGAGGGCGAGTCCGGCAAAGTTCAGAAACCGCTCGCTGCGGAGAGCGCTAGCTAGGGGTGCGCCGCTCCGCTGAGTTCCTGCCCTGGCGTTTGGAGTTAGGAAGCTCAGGATCCTCGCGGGCGTTCTAATCATGGGCAGAAAGTTTTGATAACTTGTAACCTAGCTTTTGTGGGGTCAAGGGCCTCCAATGCCCGGCTACCCACGGTTCCGGGGACAGAGCGTTTCTTCCGTCTCCGACCCCAGCGCGGCCCTGGGAGCTGAGTGTCGCCTACGAGGTGACACGAGAACCACCGCCTGCGCTGCACTTCACTGCCACGCAGCGGAACCGACCAGAGCTCTACTGAGCGGTCCAGGACCAGCTGTTGCCCCTCTCTTCCTGACTAAATGTCCCCGAATGTCCTCGAGAGTCTGCAACCCTCCCCTAGGTGTAGTTCCCCTCGGTGGTGAGCAAATGGAGAAAGCCAGTCTGACTGAAATCAGAAATGCGCCCCAGCGGCCGTGGTGGTCAGGAGACACCCCAGCAGCCACCACGGCTGTGCTATGGCCCATCTCTTTGTAACGAAGTTGAGCCTGAGACATTTTCCTACAAAAATGTTGAGGGTAATATAATTCAGGTAGAGGATTTTGCTGCTCCTTTTATATTCTCAGGGAGAGAACTTCTTTCCAGCCTTTCCTCCTGTTTCCTGGGATGCTGTGTTTTTCTTCAGAAGTGACCTATTCACCCTTAATTTTTAACTAAATCTATTCATTATCAATTTGTTTTAGACTTCTAAAACATGAGAACACATATATTTCTGAGTCCTAGCCCGACTCTATTTTGAAATGTGTTGGGGAACTGTGTCTCTAAAGGGCACGTGCTCAAATGCCTCTTCATCACTTCACGGAAATTCGTGTTATTGCGGGTGTGTGTTTGGCCAATTGTAGCTCCCGAGTGGGGAACTACAGGCCCAACGGGGCGAAAATCTTAGTGTTTTAAGGACTTCGATGACTCAAATGGGAAAAAATAGTCCTTCTTCTGAGGGTTAGCAAAGTCCAGCAAGAGAGTGCTTACAAATCGAGGACCCGCTGTATTTAACAACTCTTTTTTTTGGCGGGGGGTGGGGAGTAAAGGGAAGGAGGGAGGGGGTGGAGGAAAAGATGTGGGCATCGGAAGTTGCCTTGAGTGCAAAGCTGAACTGGGCACTCCAGAGCTAAGTCGCCAGCCCAGCCCTCTAGGTGTTTATTCAATCCACACTGCTAAGAATGATGGAGGAGTTCGCGGTGTGTGTGGGCAATGCCCAGGGTCTTCCGCGTCCCACGTCGGTTGGTCATTCCCGACCTGAGCGGCACCAGGCGGGTTGGGGAGCCGCGCTGGAGCGGGACCTCGGCGGCGACCAGACCCTTTGGCCCTTTCACCCACCTGGCTGGTCTGCCCCTCCCGCAGCTCTGGGGAGTCTCAGGCTGCATCTCGAAATTCCCACGGGCACCAGTAGCTCTGGGCAGTCCCCTGGCAAGCGCCTTCCCTCTCGTCGTCCCATTCCGCAGATGCGGATTCCGAGGCTCAACCCTGGGCAGAGCTGGTAGCTTCTGCCCTCAAAGCAGTCCTCCTCCCCCCGACCCGCGCTTGCAGTCTGGGCATCAGTAAAGAACTACGACCAAAACCTGCAGAAGGATTAGCCTCTTATAAATTTAGTCAACAGTGTGCACTGGGAAACATAGGAAGGAGAGAATTCAATTCCAGCAGACCTGTCAGTCTCTGTTCCGTTTGCTTATTTGGGGTTACCTAATGGGGTGCGCACCCATCACCTCTGAGGGCTCCAATCCAAGAGGCAGGCCTTGCTGTTCTGCCAGGACCGGGTCGGATCGCCTCAGCGACCTCTCCTTCCCCTACTCTCCAGGGTTCTGCTTATGACCATAGCCTGGCCAGTCACAGGCCCTAAAAGTCCAAATCTGTGAAATGGGGACTTGTGCCAAAAGATCCCTCAATATTTTCCTCGTGGAGTTTCTCCTAGCCTACGCTCGGGATGAGAGGCTTCGTGGCTGCTCCAGCGCTCCGGCCCCTAGGTCTCCAGACCCCTGGCCTTCCCAGCCAAGGCGCCCCCACCACAGCTCCCTGCGGGACCTCTAAGCAGGCAGGCATTTCCTGGAGCTGCCTGAACCGGTGGCCCAGAGCCGCAGATCCTGCCACCGGAATCCGGCCCTCCTCCCGCGCCCCCAGCAGCGAGGTGGCCCCTCGAGGTTAGCAGCTGCGCTCGCTCCGCCCTGTTCTGGCGGCCGGCCGGGAAGGGCGGAGGAGCAGCCGCTGCTCGGATGCCCGCCCGCCAGGGAGCGCTCTGGCCCGGGCCGCGCAGCTGCCGGGTGGCCTGGAGCGCGCTGAACAGGGGACTTTCTCTCCCAATTGGAGCGCGCAGCGAGCGATGCGCCTGTGGCCGCCGGAGCCTTGTAGGTCTCACACGCCAGGGCACCTCCTTCCCCTCCTAGGGCCAAGCCGGCGGCAGGAAGGAAGAATCGTTTGGGAGAGTGGCTAACAGTAAAGAAACGCTTCCCGGAGTGAGCTCCGGCTGAGCCTAGGAGAACGTGCGCCCACCAGCCCCAGTTGCACCCACTACCCCAATTTGGAGGCACTGTCGCAGTAAGAGCTGCCATGTGCGAGGACCCCTCTGTAAACCACACGAGAGAGAGGATTGCTAGCATCTTATAGATAAAATAAGTTTGATGCCCAGAATGGTTTGTCAGCTGTCAGCAACCAGTAAGTTGCTGCTGATTCCAAATCCTTCCTCCACGTTGCATCCTGCCCTAGGCTACGGAGCTCCCTGGCCTCCTGGAGAAGGGGAGAGAGACTGGCAGGGTGGGGAGACACGGGTGGAGGTTGGGGAAGGTAACTCTGCCCCAGGCACGCTGCTGGCTGCTTCCCTCCCATGGAAGTCCAGCTCCAGTCAGGAAGTCCTCTCCACTCTCAGGGTTCGGTTCTCGCAGGACTGTGCCCCTCACCCTTCAGGCCTTGAGTGGTAGGTAAAGCCACTACCAAAGCCAAAGCGCCCTGTGGCCCCTGCTGTTCCCCCCGCCCCCTACCAAGCGCCTTTGTATTATTATTAGTATTATTCTCTCCTCCTGTTGCCCAATCTGAGGGTGTGATACCTGTCAGGACCCTGACACACGATACACCAGAGCTGCGTTTATTTCCCCATATGGTCAGGATGCCTGACCCTTCTGAGCCTTAGCACCACTGCCCATTTGTGTTTGAGCCCCATCTTACTCAGGGGCACTCTCCTAGTCCAGGAAATCCTCCAGGCCATTCCTGCCTTTAACTCAGTGCCTGAACTGCTCAGTTGATGGAGAAACCGCGTTGTAGAGATGGCTGGTCCAGCTTTAATTTTCCCACCACAAACTTCCTATGGACATAAGGTGCCCTGCTCCCTCCCTAAGTGTCCCCAGGTGCCCCGCTTTCCCAATCTCTGAAACATGCGTTTCCTATGCTTCTCTCCTCCCAGAGCTTCTTTGAGAACGTAGTGACTGATGAGGGCTTGTGTACACCTTCTACCACAAACCTCCCTACCGACAGATGCTTCTCCCTGCCTCTGTCACAGTGGAGGGAGATGCAGGCCAAAGAGTGACCCCATCACTACTCTGCACCTCAGTCCTTCTTGCCTCAGAGCACTTCCTCATCTCCTTGTCCATGAGTCTTCAGTCTCCCTGAGGTGGACACTGATGTCACCAGGACCCCATCAGCGAAGGACTTGCTGCCCCAACTCCTGAGATGCTGTCAGCACACAGCCTGCAGCTGTCCTCCCCTCCAAGATGGCAGAGCACTGCTACAGAGAGAAAGTACACGGACAGCTGTGCCCCCTTCCCAGGGTGGTGCCCAGCCAGTGGCAGTGTAGGGGTAAAGGCCTGGTCCCACCAGCCCAGCTCCAGGCATCTCTGCAGGGCTGAGCACCAGAGCTCAGACAGGGCTCGCA